TGTTCAGCTCTGTTTGTAGCCTTTTATTTTTCTCTCTATGTTTAATTTTTCTTATGCACCTAAGATCTCATTTATCTGTTTTATCTATTTCTGTATGGATGTAGAAGAGTTTCCTAAGATAGATTTGAATTATGATAGTTTGCTGCTAGACTTAAACACATGCACTTCAGTGTTTAGAGTTCCACAGCTCATGTTTTGCTTCCTTTTTCATTGTTGATCGGATACAAATTGAATTTATAAAGAATGCAGAAGCCACAAATGCTGAAAATGAACTTTTAATCTGCATAAAAACACGAGACATTGAAAAATTGAGGAACTTTGTTATTTCCTGGTGAAATAAAATCCAAATGTGAACACAGAACAGACAAATGTGACAAAATGTAACTAGATTTGCACAAGATTATGAACCCTAGACAACAATAGAGAAGGAAAGAAGGATATGTACTCAAACTTGAAGTCTTCCGCTAATTCGGGACTGGGTCATGGGGGAGCAGTGTTAGCAGAGACATTTTTCTCCAAAGACACTCTCTGCTGCGTGCTGCTTAAGCTGCTTCCAGGCCAACCAAGAGACATAGGGTGTGTTCGATTTCAGTGGCTGCATCCTCCAAGGACCCGGTCTATCTGGACTCCTTCCTTCAAGGTCCATGAAAATAAGGAGGCTTGAAGAGTTTGGCGATGGATTCAAACAGGTCCAGCCTTCTCCGGCTTTCACCATCCGTACGCTCTCACCTAGCAACCATGACAGTTGATGTAAAAAAAAGCCACACTTTTGTTCTGTTTGCTAAATATATTTTCAAGGACCTTAAGCAGCAGTAACATCATCACAGATATCAGATTTACAGTCCCCACACTGCACAGATATTGGAATCTGTGCTTAAATGTCAGCCAAACTCATTTGCACAGGGACAGATAGGACTGTTTACTAAACTAAACATTACTGTCCACATATCTTACTCAAAAAACATTTAAAACAATTATTTTGATTAATTTCAGATTGATTTATTCACATATGTTATATTTAACTGTACTTAAAATATTCATCACTTTTTGGCTACATTTCCCTTTTAGTAAG